GGGCCTTCATCTCCAACAGGGGCCTTCATCTCCAACACCCGTGATCAGCCCCTCTCGGATTTCCACCCTTTCCGTTCTAGAATTCGTCAAATTCATCCCCATTTTTCTCACTGGATCATCCATCAACCATTCCAAGAACCAAATCCCAAACCAACCAGTAAATAAAAAGGATAGAAAAGAGAGGGAGAGGCGCCATCGGTGGCGTCGATGACGAAACGAACTCCGGCGAGAACGATGGTGACTAGCTTCGTCGACGGTAGGGTTTCGCTCGTTGCCTCAGAGGTGGTGTTCGGGGTTCGGTAACTGGCGGCGACCTTGGCCGCGTTTCGTGGCACTGGCGGTGTTCGATGGAGAAGGAAGAGAACTCGCGCCGAATCGGAGGGTGAGAAGGGCCTGAACGCTGCCTCCGGTGGCTGGACGTGCCCAAGCGGAGGCCGGTGTCGGACTGAAAGAGTTTCTCCTCTATCGCGCGGAAAGGGGGCAGGAGAGAGGACCTGACACCGCGGCCAGCCGCGATCCTGGTGGCGCTTGGGGTCGCCGGTGACGTCATGGACCAGGCGGAGGGCCTCTTCGCGGTGGTCGGTTTGGTGGGGGCAGCCGTATGCGCGCAGGGAGACGATCCTTCGTCGGAGTTCCTAGCTGAAAGAATAGAGAGTCTCATGTCTTTCTGAACTGGAAGAATGAGGAAGATTTGAAAGTTTCATTGCCGTATGCCACGTCATTCACACGTCATTACCACTACTGTGACTCATTTGCCACGTTTTAATTTTCTAATGCCAAATAATCAGCCACTTAACATCGTTAGTGTGTATTTAACGGAGATGACTACTTTGACACAAATTTTTTCTATGTTTGGATTCAATTGACACTTTTACACCACGTGAGGACGACAATGAAACTTTTTTAAAAATGAGGATGAATTTGACACAATTCAACCAAACTGGGGACAAAGGAAGCAATTAAACCATAAAAATACTAATTAAAGACAACTATTATTTGTAATTTAATTAAGTTAGTTATGTGCATGAATTATTAAAAAACAATTCGAATGAGATCCACATTATTTTACGATCCGTAAAAGAAATTAGTCATTGAAAGAACATACATATGCTAAAAGTGTTACTAGTAATTAATGATATGTTATCACAAGTACTTAGTGGCAATTGATTAATTAATTAATTAAATATTAATATTACAAAGTTCGAAAATTCATTCTAGTAACATTCTCCCCCAAACTTATTTACAATTATTACCATTACACAAAAATTAAGAGAAAAAAGATAATCTAGAACAAAACGAATAACTATTTTTTGATACTGTTATTTTTTTTTCTCCCATTAAAATTGAAGTTTTACTTCAATAATTCATATAATAAAAACATGCATGAAAAACTCTAAGTTTAATTTTAATTAAATAATACTGGGATGAGAATAAAGGAAAACCTTGACTTTTATGTATTTTCTTTTATATTTTCTATAAAATATCTAGACTGAATCTTGAGACAGATACTTATTTCAATAGGAGGTTGACACAAGTTTCAGAAACATTGCATTTCAAAACACAAGCAATGTTACAATGTTGTAGCCTTATGCTTCAAGGTTAGATTTATTAAGCAAAGAAAATTGATATTTATATCTGTCAAAATTATTAATATAATTTTATTTTATATTAAAAAAATATTTTTAATGTATTAATTTAATGAGAATCTTCCTTTGACAAGTGTGAAAAAGGGATTTTTAAGTTAAGAGGGAAAGTCCTCTAATGGTCTTTTATGCTAGTTATAATACACTTTTCTGCTAAGTTATTTTTGTTTTTCTTTTCTTTCATTAAATCCAAATGATTTCACATTTTACTCTACTTTTTTTCTTTCCCAAATTTCCATCTCTTCATTCAAACAAATTCTAAATTGGCGTGCTAATATTTTTCTGAAAAATTGTTTTCAAAAAGTATTTTCTAGAATTGAAAAAGTACATTTTAGTAAAGATTATTTTAAGAAATAAAAGTGACATAAATATAAACACAAAGTATTGGACTTTAGAATGCGATTGAAATGCAAAACATAAACCGAATAATAATAATAATTTTCTATTTGGAAGAAATAAACAGCCCAGGTATTTATTTGTCCCTGTTTCATATTTGGGCTTTTCCCTTCTTAGTGAGTAATTGTAAATCCAAAAAGCCCATTTCACTCCATTCATCCAATCAACCCTACATTACCTATATATATATATATATATATATATATGTATGTATATATATATATATATGTATGTATATATATATGTATGTATAATTAATTAATTTACTGAAGCCTTGGTTTAAACTTTGGACGAGTTTAAAAGTGGATACAATATTTGAATAATTTAATGACCTCAGCGATTTTGTGGCTTTAAAGTGTAGAATTTAAGACGGTTATTAAAATAAAGAAATGTATTGCAATAAGTCGCTACAAACATTAAATATTACCTAATTTGGTGGCTACATTAACCATTCACGCCTTCAAGGTGTTTAAAACTCCGTACAAAACATTTCCATCGTTTGTTGACGTTATCATTTTGTGCTTTTAAAAGTTACCATTTTTTTTAGTTATAAGTGTTAGATACTAAAATCTTTGCTTTAAAAGTTACCATTTTTTTTTATCAGTTATAAGTGGTAGATACTAAAATTTTTAGAACGATGTAAACTAAAAGCAAATTATATGTAAAACAAACACTAATTTCACACACACACACACACTAATTGGCAGAATAAACAAGAGAGAAGGAGCTTGTGATAGTAAATTACAGCAACATTCCATATTGTAGAAATAGGGAAATTTACACTTTGAAAGTTGAATACAAAGAAAGACATACTAAGACACTTAGAAAGTTGGATACAGCCAAGGTTGCTTACAACATATGAGTAGCAAACAATGTTTCTAAAAATCACAACGGTGAACAAAAGTAAAAGTAAAAATTGCAATACTAACGGCGGGTGGTACAACATAGTCCACCTCCTCCAATTTAGTAGGTCACATAAACTATGAAAACTCCATCTCTGCTAGCTTTCAGCAGCAGAAAGGTTGAAAAATACTTCCAAAAATGAAAAATACCCCAATAGTAAAAAAGACCCTAAGAATGGGGAACCCCTTATGATTAAGAGCCAGCTTAAAATAAGCCTTAACCATTTTATGATCCCAAGAATAATACCAATTGACCCCACCCCTCCACCAAGTAGCATACTATATAATACCTTAGTATACTGTTGAGTCGTCATACTAACACTTAAATTGAGAAATTATAGAAACATATATTTATATATAGTGGTGTATCTAAATATTTGAACTTGCAGTGGTGAATGATTATGGTCCCTAGCGGAATTGAGCACCAGTGTATGTTTGTCCAAAGGACCACCCAGCAGGGGCAACGTTGTAGGACACCACTGTCTGGCCATCACTAGCTGTGACCTTAAAGGAGAGGCTTTGGCCATTGAGATAGTTGTTGCTCTGCCAGTTCTGACCCCAGTTCCTGGACATTGGCATCCACCCAGTTCTTGAACCTTTTATGGCCACACCATGCACATCCCCAGCACCTCCTACGTTTGTTATCAGGACCAGGTTGAAGTAGGAGTGACCATTGATTGTGAACCTTATGCCACCCCTTCTTCTGCAGGCCACCCTACACAAAATCCACACATACACGAAACTTATACATGCTACTTTGGAATAAATTAAACTTTGCTGCTTATAAGCAACAAATCTACCCAATACCTTTGTATTATTCCTATATAGTACATACAAACATTAACCAAGTAGGTGGAAAACACTAGTTTCACTGTAAAGTTACCAACTTTGAGAAGATAGTGGTTTGGTCATTTACCACTATATGGAAAGAGAAAGAAAGGAAACTTCCAAGAACATGAGTTAAAAACAGTTCAAGAGAAAACTCCTTTTGAAAAGTTGAAGGTGACAGGAGAGTAAGGTAGTTTCATTTTACTGAAAAACCAAAGAACAAAAATGAAGACAATTGCTTACCTTCTATAGGACACAGGCACGATTCCTGCTTTGTATTGTGCAATGCGCAGAAAAACAGGTTGAGAGAGGTCAAAATGGTGCAGGGGAGGGTTGCACCACCCTCCTGCATTGTTGGGTAAGGCATTATTTGGAGGGCAGAAATTGGTGGCAGTGACCAAAATGGAACCGGGAAGGCACCATCTGTGGTCACTCACACACCTTATCTCATAGCATGAACCACAGCTCAGACCATTGTTGAACAAAGCAGTGCTTAAAGCAGCAGTGTTTGTTCCATAACCCTGGCTGTAGAGGTTCCCATACCCACAAGCCCCACCTACACAAGTTTCATTACCAAATAGATCAGTCAAAAAGAGTTGCCTTTTTAGGCCATAATCAATTAACAAGTTCTAAATTCCATCCAAAAAGAAAAATAAAAATTGGATCTTTCTTATGATTGCTACATACCCATTGTTCCAGATGCATCACTCCCTCCATAGAAGGTAGCGTGCGCATTAACCCAGCCTCCACCATAGCCATAGCCATAGGCAGAGGAGAACATTGTGAGAAGAAGCCCCACCAAGACCAGCAAACCAAATTGAGCCATTTTCCTGAACAAATCCAAAACAAACACAATTAGTCATTTGGGTTCCTTCTAGTAATGTTTTTGTGAAATTGCATGCAACATTTAGCTAGAAATGTGCAGCAAGAAGTTGACATGATGCAATGGAAATTTGCAATTACTTTGACAGAGAAGGTTGAATTTCAGTGTGAGAGACAATGTGAAGTGGATGAGTGAAGGAAAAGTGAAGGGGGCTGGTACTCAATTTATAGACCTTGGAAGGCACAAGCAATAGGGTCAGTCGTAGCTTTAACTGACACTTTTAAAAGTGTTGGGACCAAAAACTGCAGAGGGTATAAGCGGTTTCTGTAACGCTTTAAAACAGTGCAATTTGCAAAGGGGCCCACATTTGAAGCTACTAAAAGCTGTTTTGTAGCTGAAGCCGTGTGGTTTTGTAGCTTTCCTTGCTGGAAAATCTACGAAATCGATGTGGGACATAGCGGTTTTGAGTTATGCTGCCATTGCCACATGCAAGCATCTTCCGTTTGCCGCAAATACCCTTTTGCACAATCCCTACGCTTTTTCAACTCTTTTTTTCTGTTCTTTTTCTCTCATGGAAAATGTTGTTGTCACAAGAAAAATGGATGGGATTTAAAAATAAAATAAAAAATAATTTAGTTTATAGTTAAAGTATTCATTTTATAATATTATCATCTGGAACTTTTATTTTTAAATATAATATTTATTTTTTTTCCAAAAATAACATATTTGTTAACAGAGTAACATAATTTTAGTAACCTTATTGTAAAAGTTACATATGTTTTAAAAAATATGAATATTATATTTTGTTTAGAGTATTCTTTTTTAATATGTACAGTTTTAAGATTATTACTGTCTTCACCCATTTTTAATTGTTAGATCTTTAGAAGTTTTTTTTTTCTATTCAATTATTATTTTTAACGTTTAAGATAATATTAGCTACTTTAATTTTATTATTATTATTATTATTATTTATATTCTTATTTTTTATATTAATTTTAATTAGTTTATGTATGTGAATGTATTGTAAAGTAGAAACAAAAAATTAAATAAAAAGTCTTATAAATATTTTATGAAGTTAATATATTATTTTAGTTTTCCCAAAATAACCTGAACTATGCTAGAAAGAAAAAAAGTAACCCATATTACAACCTAAGAAAATAATGACATTTTAGTAAGAGTATATTTTCGAAAAAGAGAATGATGAGACTTGAGAATTTATCAACATGTGGAATAAATTTCAGAGGTTAAAAACCAAGAATTTAATAATAGAGGAAGTTTCAAATCTACTCTTATTATAAATTACTTGCATAGATACATGCTTAAAAAGTTTGAACACATTTATTTTGTACTATCTTATTATATTTTGTATTATTATATTTTATTTTTTAATAAAAAGTTCATTCCCATACTTTGTATTATTATATTTTATTTTTTAATAAATTTTAATGTAATAACAATTGATTTATAGGATTTGAAGTATCAATGTATCTATTTATGTATTTTTATAAAATTATAAAATTATAAAATTATAAAATTATAAAATTATAAAATTATAAAATTATAAAATTATAAAATTATAAAATTATAAAATTATAAAATTATAAAATTATAAAATTATAAAATTATAAAATTATAAAATTATAAAATTATAAAATTATAAAATTATAAAATTATAAAATTATAAAATTATAAAATTATAAAATTATAAAATTATAAAATTATAAAATTATAAAATTATAAAATTATAAAATTATAAAATTATAAAATTATAAAATTATAAAATTATAAAATTATAAAATTATAAAATTATAAAATTATAAAATTATAAAATTATAAAATTATAAAATTATAAAATTATAAAATTATAAAATTATAAAATTATAAAATTATAAAATTATAAAATTATAAAATTATAAAATTATAAAATTATAAAATTATAAAATTATAAAATTATAAAATTATAAAATTATAAAATTATAAAATTATAAAATTATAAAATTATAAAATTATAAAATTATAAAATTATAAAATTATAAAATTATAAAATTATAAAATTATAAAATTATAAAATTATAAAATTATAAAATTATAAAATTATAAAATTATAAAATTATAAAATTATAAAATTATAAAATTATAAAATTATAAAATTATAAAATTATAAAATTATAAAATTATAAAATTATAAAATTATAAAATTATAAAATTATAAAATTATAAAATTATAAAATTATAAAATTATAAAATTATAAAATTATAAAATTATAAAATTATAAAATTATAAAATTATAAAATTATAAAATTATAAAATTATAAAATTATAAAATTATAAAATTATAAAATTATAAAATTATAAAATTATAAAATTATAAAATTATAAAATTATAAAATTATAAAATTATAAAATTATAAAATTATAAAATTATAAAATTATAAAATTATAAAATTATAAAATTATAAAATTATAAAATTATAAAATTATAAAATTATAAAATTATAAAATTATAAAATTATAAAATTATAAAATTATAAAATTATAAAATTATAAAATTATAAAATTATAAAATTATAAAATTATAAAATTATAAAATTATAAAATTATAAAATTATAAAATTATAAAATTATAAAATTATAAAATTATAAAATTATAAAATTATAAAATTATAAAATTATAAAATTATAAAATTATAAAATTATAAAATTATAAAATTATAAAATTATAAAATTATAAAATTATAAAATTATAAAATTATAAAATTATAAAATTATAAAATTATAAAATTATAAAATTATAAAATTATAAAATTATAAAATTATAAAATTATAAAATTATAAAATTATAAAATTATAAAATTATAAAATTATAAAATTATAAAATTATAAAATTATAAAATTATAAAATTATAAAATTATAAAATTATAAAATTATAAAATTATAAAATTATAAAATTATAAAATTATAAAATTATAAAATTATAAAATTATAAAATTATAAAATTATAAAATTATAAAATTATAAAATTATAAAATTATAAAATTATAAAATTATAAAATTATAAAATTATAAAATTATAAAATTATAAAATTATAAAATTATAAAATTATAAAATTATAAAATTATAAAATTATAAAATTATAAAATTATAAAATTATAAAATTATAAAATTATAAAATTATAAAATTATAAAATTATAAAATTATAAAATTATAAAATTATAAAATTATAAAATTATAAAATTATAAAATTATAAAATTATAAAATTATAAAATTATAAAATTATAAAATTATAAAATTATAAAATTATAAAATTATAAAATTATAAAATTATAAAATTATAAAATTATAAAATTATAAAATTATAAAATTATAAAATTATAAAATTATAAAATTATAAAATTATAAAATTATAAAATTATAAAATTATAAAATTATAAAATTATAAAATTATAAAATTATAAAATTATAAAATTATAAAATTATAAAATTATAAAATTATAAAATTATAAAATTATAAAATTATAAAATTATAAAATTATAAAATTATAAAATTATAAAATTATAAAATTATAAAATTATAAAATTATAAAATTATAAAATTATAAAATTATAAAATTATAAAATTATAAAATTATAAAATTATAAAATTATAAAATTATAAAATTATAAAATTATAAAATTATAAAATTATAAAATTATAAAATTATAAAATTATAAAATTATAAAATTATAAAATTATAAAATTATAAAATTATAAAATTATAAAATTATAAAATTATAAAATTATAAAATTATAAAATTATAAAATTATAAAATTATAAAATTATAAAATTATAAAATTATAAAATTATAAAATTATAAAATTATAAAATTATAAAATTATAAAATTATAAAATTATAAAATTATAAAATTATAGAATTATAGAATTATAGAAGTACGAAATTATAAGATTAAAGTATTATAAAATTACAAATTACAAAACTATGAAATTATAAAATATCAAAATATAAAATTTAATAATTTGTGATTTTTTTAATTTTTAATTTTTAATTTTATAGTTTATAATTATTTAATTTGTAATTATATATTTTTCTATTTTTATATTTTATAATTTTATTTTAATATTTTAGTTTTTTAATATTATATTTTTATAATTTTCCTTTAATATTTTAGTTATTTTTAGTTTTATATTTTATAAATTTGGCCATATAAATTTTAAATTATATAATTAAAAATTCATAAGTTAACTAATTTTATAATTTTATATTTTATTATTTTATAATATATTCATTTTCTCATTTTATATTATTTTAATCTTATAATTTGTAATTTCATAATTCTATTAGAGTGAATTAATGGAATTGAAAATTATAACATCCTATTTAATAATATAAAACTACTAAATAAAAAATTGTAAATTTTGATAATGCATGACAAATTAATAGAAAATATAAAATATTAATATATTTATCCATTATAATATTAATAGAAGCTCTTAAAGTTGTTCAAAAAGAAGAAACTTCTATAGATAAATGTTAGATAAAATGATATAATTATGTCTCCAAGTCATTGTCTTCCACTAACAGTATGTCAGCACCTAACTCATCTTATGCTCATACCGAGAGGTGATCATTACAAAAGAATAACAACACACACAAATAAAAGAAAGCAAGGTAAGCTAGAGAGAAACAAGAAATATCATAGTACAATTATCACATCATATATTTATACTAATCGTTTATGAATTTCATTAACTCAAATAGACACACAATACAGTTGACATTAGACTCGATTATTCAAATATATGCAATGAGATAAGACTTCACTATAGGTGTGCACATGTATTATTTATACTCTATAGAGCATAAACAAGGAGTTATCAACCTACTACTCACAAGGTCAATCCCCTTGCTATTGGACAAAATAGGTGTGCCTAGGATAAAATAGTCCAGTGGCTTGGACCTCTTGTCATTCTCTCTCCCAATATTCATCTCTATTGAGTTGAACGGTTGGTAGAATATTAAGATACTTACTTTATGAACTGCTATATGTTATAACATACACTACACATCACAACACATAGAATTTTTCCTTGAAAGTCTCTCAACAACAATACTACGCATATTCATAACAAAAATTCTCATTTCCTCACATACAATTGTCATACTTACAAGCATACTCAAAGCATATCTAAATCAATACCAAACAACCAAAAAGAAGAAAAAAAAAGTATACATATTGGCACTC